TATTTTGTTGCTCGTGCAAAATACTATAAATAAATTAAATAAATTAATTAAAAAAAATATTATAATACAATTAATTAAATAGGGCTGTGAATTCCACCCATATTGTTTGAACTTCATCGGGATATTCCGAATATTGACTGGCAGATACACGGCCTGAAGAGAATCGAGACGAACCTAATGATAGATAATAAAAAGTTAGTACCTCTTTACCTTTGAGAATATATGCAAAAAGACAGAGTGATGAAAATTTCCTTACCTTGCGATACACGATCCCATTCCGCCTCTCCTTTCATTTTTTGTATTTCATTATTTAACGCCAATATGGATTTTTCGAGTTTGGCGATTTGTGATTTTGCCGGAGTCGATGATAGATATTTGCGTAGGAATAAGAACACCCCTACAAGAAATATATATATTATGACATTTCCTGAAAAAATGCCTTGAAGTGTCTCCATTGTTAAGACGCCCCGGAGAATCATCTCATAAATTAGCATTGAGATGGAGAAAAATGCAAGTAATAAAATATCGGAATTTGAGAGCATTTTATTGCTAATTTCGATTATTAGATTTATGCGCGAAAATTGTATTTTGATTAATAAGGGTTTTATGTGCGAAGATTGATTGGTTTGGTTGATTGAATTTGCAGTGTTAGAATGCGCACTACTTGAAAGAACTTTTTTTTTCTTACTAGAAACTGTTCTCCTCCAATACACCCAGTTTTTATAATTAAGACCCTTCCGCAGTTAAGAGCTACGATCGTCGCAAAACATGAAAGTCCCTGGATCTTCGCTGGAAATCATATTGCCCAATAATTAGCCGATCCAGATTTTCTAAATTACCCTGTATTAATATGCATACTCTCGAGAAATAAAAAATTAGTATGTAGATTCCAGAGGAATCACACCAATCACCCCCACACGAGAAAAATAATTGACTATATTTCGCGGGTCACCTAGTACCCTAAACGTTTTTTATTTGCAGTACATTGAGCTAAAAATAAATTACATAATGCGGGACTAGCCCAGGGTACATGATGACACTCTATTCTTTGACTGCGGACTAAAATACATGATTACACCCTCTTTCTTCATCGCCGGCTCCTTCTCAACACCCACCCTATCCCAACGTTATTCCATAATCCATTTCATTTATGCCTTCATGATGCTAAAGAGATCCTCCAAACCCTGGAATGAAAAGATATTAGCCAGGTATGTGTTTACAGCTCTGAAGACACTTCCTTCACAACTGAGCGAAATAAGTATTCCCACCTTAATTGCGCAATGTCTTGTCCGGAGCTTCGTCTCCAGTATTTTTTTATCGCCGGCATTTCTTTCCTCTTCTTTCCTCTACACATGCCCTATCTTTTAACAAATCCACAATTATACCCAAAACCTCTTTCACGCTATTACATAGTGATTTGTATGAGTCGGTAAATTCAGTGTCTCGAAATCATCATCGCCTCGCTTTCTCTTCCTCTTATTCGTCTCATTCTGAGTGAAGCCTACGGTAAGGTCTTCGGTCTCCCACCCACATATTTATATAGTCCGTGTTAATGATAAACTAACATGATTGGAGTAACAAAAAATTACCTTGTTTGCATAATCGAGCCTCGGCTTTCTTATGCTGAGGACGCAACTTCTGTGTCTGACAAGAAATATTTTTACAATGAACGCAATGAAGCCCAAGATCACTGAACGTAAAGGAATGAGAAAAGCCAATCGTCCACCGCCAAATGGCCGTCATGGAATCGATTGAAAGATGGTTAACTCAGTTTGCCACCGCCTAATGGTCTGTCATGACGAACTGGCTTTTTCATCAAGCAATGATGACAAATCATCTCATCGCCAAATGGCCGGCATGAATGAGTTGAGCAAAGTTCACCTTCCCAGAGAATTGTCGCCAAATGGCCGTCACAAAGGACTCTGTCATTTTCTCCACAGAAAAGCCAAGCGTCCATCGCCGAATGGCCGTCATGGAATCGCTTGGAAGATGGTTAACTCAGTTTGCCATCGCCTAATGGTCTGTCATAACAAACTGGCCTTTTCATCAAGCAAATAAATATCTTTGATGACAAATCAGCTCATCGCCAAATGGCCGACATGAGTGAGTTGAGCAAAGTTCACCTTCCCAGAGACTTGTCGCCAAATGGCCGTCACAAAGAACTCTGTCATTTTCTGCGCCTATTACTGAAAAGTCTTGGAGATTTAATATGAACTACCCCAAGAGCATGATTCTCTAATAAATTCATTGGATGAAAGCTTCCAAATTTTGAAGCACAAAATGCACATCACTGCCCCATACTCGTATAACGGTATAATTGATAACTACGTCACGCGTGTGGACGGTGAAAAATTTTGTAGATAATCAGATATTCACTATTCAGATTGTACTGTATCTTAAGATTTATAAACTTCCATTTATTACGAACTTTTCAGAATGCAGAATCCGTTTATCGATGAACTTGACGAAATAAACTTAAAGCAATACTCTAATTTTATATGTTCTTACTTCTACTCTGTCGACGCAGGTTTTTGGAGCTTAAGACATTATATTGATTGGATCTGTAAGAATGAGAAGGAATTACCGCAATGGGAAACGTGTTTAGACAACTTTTATAACTCGTTAGATTTTGTAAATTCGCGTAGAGGAGTATCCATATACATTCGCACTTGTGCTAGGAGAAATCTTGATAATAAAGAGGTGAGCGTCGAAGATGAGATATTTGTTACTATTATCTTGCTTACAAGATTTTATAAATTAGCTTCCCGAGATTGAAGCAATTATGAAAGAACTCCAGGAACCATATGAAAGAGTATATAATGGAAAATATGGTGGATCTATGTATAAGGTTTGTTAATGCCACTACACTAATTAATGAACTGGGACGGATAGCAAATTTATACACTTCATTTCCACACAATAGACTGCGGTTCAAGTGCAAAAGGAAGAGGAAGTCTTTGCTTTGGAAAGTGCAAAAATGCGCGAAAAAAATGGAAAGAGGAAAAATGAGGAATATTTAGATGATGAATTCGCAGAAAGCCTTGGAATTTTATTCGAAGAATCTAATGAAGAAATATTAATGGACAATATAGATGAAAAAACGCTCAAAGAAGAAATTAAGTTGCCATTGGCAAGCGGTATTTCCTCTAAGGTAACCTTTAATGTTGCATTTATGGACACATTATTTAATGGGCTTACAGTCTCATCTTACAATAGGATCCATTAAAGCATAAACTTTCTTCTGATATTGACGTTTCTGAAGCTTTCCACAGCTATCAGGCCAAAATCCCCAAGTGCCGTAAGGTCTCGACGTAAGTTTAGCATGATTGTTCTTAGGTTATGATTTTTATATGATTTAATTATTAATACTGTACATTTTATTCTCTTGTTATCATATAGACCTGCGTATTGGGGTATTCTCGATTTGACGAACGAAAGCCTGCACGGATGTAAATATTTTACAGAAATCGACATGAAGGAGTTGAATCAAGAATTCTCGAATTGTATTGGATGGATTGATACACCTGCTGAAGAAAGTCTTCAGCAATACTTCGATAATAACTGTCAAAGAAATTATGATAAAAAATTTGAAAAGTTAGATGCCAATATACAATTTATAAAGAATAATATGTGTTCCTTCCAGGGAACATTGACGGAAGAAGAACTCAAAATGAGCTCATCGTTTCCTTTATTTCGAGGCATTTTTACGTCCGATCACATAAAAGATGTTTGGTAATCTTTATTTACATTGATTTTTTGGTGGAACCATTAAAAAATATTTAATAATGAACAACTCTTTCATATGTAGGGGAGAGACACAAGCTCTGGCGACGAACGATGCTCGAAATGAAAAGCAAAACCCATTCCAAAGGGCCCGTATTGGGAGAAAAGTTGACATGAAGTGTGTTCTGGTCAAGACACTAAATAAGTTTGAAGTTGTATACGGGGAAGTTTCGGGAGGATTAGGTCCATTTGGACCTTCAGCTCATCGCAAGAAACGATTCCTTGATAAAGTAAAGCTAATGGTCACAATGCGGGATAGTCTCAATAATTTACTAAAGAAGTACAAACACACCTCGGACAAGCAACGCATGGACATAATCGTCTATGGCTGGCTTCAAGTCGGTAAGTCCTAAAACAGATACTTTATTTGACATGAATTTTAATTAAATTGAATTCATATGTGTTGAACAATGTTGGAATGGAACTTAGCTTCTACGCTTTAGACTGGATTGGAGATGGTGTATACAGGTTCGGATTACTCGACCAGTGTATTATACCTTCGGACAAAAATGATTGTAATATGATCGAAGATGCTTATTGTGTCATTAAAACACTTGAGGTAAGGCTATTGTTTTTTATCTAGTGGCCAGCCAAATAAGATTTATCTCATGTTTATTATTAATATAGATTAAATTGCTACAAACTGAAACGGCGGTAAGAAACTTACTTTCAAACAACACAAAAGGAAAACGACGCCGAACGGCAACTGAAAATGAACCAAAGCTAAATTTAAACCGTACACCTATCAAACAAAAATAAATTTGTGGAATATATTCAAGTTGTAAATTTCTTTCTTGTTATTTCTTGCTGTTCTTAGAATAAAATTTGTAAGGTGCATTGTAGTAATTTTATAGTAAAGAATAAATACAAATAATTATGTATAGTGTAGAATAATTTAGAATTTTTCCAACTTCATTTATAAACGAATACCATTTATTATATGATAATGCGTATTTTACATTCTTTTTTTATTCCGATACACGCCAGAAATAGGAATATATTAATACTTTATTTACGAAATAAAAAAACGTTGCCGGAACAACTGATACATAAAATTGCGAATATATCGCTTGAATAAAAAATACTATTTTTTTGGCTGAGAGATAATCTAAATTTATTCTTGGTTTTCGATCATCTGTTAACAAAGACAATGACTGTAAGAACAACGCTAATTAGATTTCAGCTATAACATTATGCAAAGCACCTTTTGGCTAAATTACTCACACAGCTTCTTAATGTAGTCCTCAAGCTCTAATGCAGGTCTCATCTTCACTCCGAATTCCCTGAATTCCTGTCTGGTTAACTTGAGAAATAAATGTCCGGTGATTTTTTCATCCTAAAGTCTCGTAAAAAAGCCATCACTAAGTTCTATGTGACTTAATTCAGAATCTCCCCGCAAAAAATTGATAAGATTTTCCGTTTCATATTCTTCTAACCTGTCAGCTAGAGTGGAGCTGGAAGACACTTTGCTTTCCTAAATACAAGGTTCATAGTGAGAAATTTTCGCTTGCAGTAAACATAACTTCTGGCATATACATACCTCAATTATTTTTGCGGAAAGTTGGCTGAACTTCCACATATCCTACATGCTTTATATCTTGCTGGGAAAAGTTAAGGAGGTATGTGGCGTAATTAGTATTGTCGTCTGATACCAAGAGTTCCATGAAGGCACATGCAAACGGATTCTTCATACCTTTTCACATGTAGATCTACCGGAGAGACGCAAAGGTAGTTAGTTCTTGTAGATCTCGAAATTACAAAGTCCTCAGCCCTTCATAGCATATGCTTTTGCCGTCAGTATTTACTTTTACGGTAGGTCCTATGTTGAAACTAGACCTCCTTTCACATTTTCTCACATTTGTTTGGGAAAAAAATAGAGGGACTTGGTCAACATATATATTTTCCTTTCGTTATATGCAAAAATTATTATGTCGCACAAAACTATTATGTGATCAGCCTATTTTTGTCGCACAGGAGTAACCCCGCTTGTGGCGCAAAAAATTCCGATCAATGATCACCATTCCGGCCTGTTGTTCCAGTCAACCAACCCTGGATCGGAATACCACTGCAAACTATCCCGCATACATAGAGATAAAAGGTTCTGAGCTAAATACTGATTATTAGCAACATTGTGCTGTACAAGAGGTCTCAAAGGGACCTGATAATCTCTAAATGCGCTAATAAAATCAGGAGGCGTTATAGTATCCACGAAATTCTCGATATTGATATTTGGATTAAGTGAAACGAGCTGATCTACGGCTTCTTTACTAATTTTATAACACCCTCTCAGATTAAGATATTTTAAATTAGGACATGATCTAGCAATTTCTTCAATAGTTATATCGCTAATTCCACAAAAGCCAAGGTCGAGTTGTTGGAGCCTTGGGCAAGAGCGAATAACATTACAAATTGATAGTTCACAAATATCTGTGCGATGAGAAATATTTAGATATTCTAATTTATGGCATGACCGGGCAATAGCAAATAGACCTTCACTAGTTATTATGCCCATATTACAGGATATATACTTATCCTTTTGTAAATTAAGATACTTCAGATTGGGGTATGATTCTGCTATTCGATTTAGTGTTTTATCGCTAAATCCTGTACTAAATTTTAAATCTAAATGAACTATATTTGGGAATTTGTACGCAATGTCATTGAATTTTTTATCTGAAAGTGGATGGTGATTTGAAATTTCTAAATGAATTAGATTTGAGCTATAAACCGGCTTTTGTTTTCTTCGTGCCATTTTCATAAAATTTTTCAATTGAGAGTGTTGTGTCCACTCTAGCTCAATACGCCTCCATAGAATAGGAGCGCCACATCTGTACCAAAGCCGGCTAACAAATAGAGCAGGGTGAAGGGATTTATCTATCAATAAGAAATGTAAAATATGTTCTAGTACTTCTGGTAAATAAAAAATGCTTGATTGCGCCATACATAGTGTATATTATATATTGTATCTTCAAACGAAAAAAAATAAAGTTAGCTGAGCCTAGTTCGCTGGTAGATCACTGCTCCGGACTATCGATTGGGTTAGGAAAATCAGTCATAGCTCAGATCTGACTATCAGATAATGTCAAAATAAAATTTACTTCTTCGAATGGAAGGGTCCGACCAGGACCGGGATTGCAAAATTATCGTCTAATAATAGTTTTAAATCGCATATATTCAAAGTTGCACCATTTTCTCGAAACTAAGGTCCTCCTAAAATTAAATCAGGTCCTGGCCAATCTGGTCCAGAAACTATAAATTCAACAAGTGTGCTTTTGTGCTTCTCACCATCTTCAAAACTAATATGCAGATTGACTTTTCCTAATGTGAAATAGGATGCATTCAGAGTTATAATGCTATTGCTTTCACTGTGATTTATAATTCCTAATTCACCAATATGTTTTTGGCTAATGCAATTTACATCGGCACTTGTATCAATTGATGCCTCAATAGGGTATTTTTTTTCGACTACACAATTCACGAATACCATTTTATTATGGCATATATAATATTCAAATATAAAAAATAAACCTCTATTCAACACCTGGTTTTTCGAATCCTTCTGGCTCAGCTATTTCAAACTATCATCTGCTTAACCTTTCTTGGTCACACCCTTCTTCGTTGCTTATGAGGACATCCCCTCTTACCTCAATTATCTCAACTGAATCAGAATCTTCGGAAGACTCAGATGAATAGGAGAGACTCTTACATTTTTTAATATTTACTGAAGAAGCTATTTTTTGTATTAAGTTGATCACAGTTTCCCTATCCACACATTCGTCTAGATCTTTTAATTCGTCTTTTAAGGATTTTATATCCCTTTCCAATCCTTTTACCCTCCTTTCTAAACTGTTATGTTGGGAATGATAATCTTCCAATTGTTTCTTTAGCATCCTATTTTCACCAGAAAGTGCACTATATACCTCTGCATTTCGCTCGTTTAGTCCAAACGTCTGGGCTAATATCTTTATATTTTTGATAACTTTCTGCTCGGTAGGCATACTATCAGATGAATGCTTTTGATTGACTACCATTTTCGTGATATATTCTATATGATATATCTTAGGCGAACGAAAAAAAATAAATTTAATAAATGATATCTAACCTATCTATGTGATTAGTTTTCATCGAAGATGCAAAATGGTTCTGCCTGATTATATGATTCTCCTCTTTTCTGCATATTAACTATAGTATATCTCTTAGATGGAGAAGCATGGTTATCAGAAAAATTATATGAGGCTTTAATCCAAATTTAAAAATAAAACAATATATTTTAAAATGGAGCTTTGGCTACCTATAGTAGGAACAGATTACTTTATATCTAATATCGGACGTATCAAAAATAAAAATGGTAGGATTTCAGAAAGAAGCATTCATAAAGGATATAGTTATGTAGTAACAAAGATTAGTAGAAATAATAATTATACACCTGTTAATATTCACAGACTAGTTGCGGAAGCATTTATTCCTAATCCGAAAAATAAGCCTTTTGTTAATCATATTAATGGAATCAAGACTGATAATCAAGTAGATAATTTAGAATGGGTATCCCCAAAAGAAAATGCCAATCACAAAGTATTTCCAAATCCTGGTCGTGGTAGATCTCGAAAAATCGTGCAAAAAACACTAGATGAGAGTATTATTCAAATTTGGGATTCAGCTAAACTTGCAGGTATTACACTTAATATTAATAGAAGAAATATTACTGCATGTTGTAGAGGAAAACGAAATACTGCGGGTGAATGGGCTTGGATGTATTATGATGATTATATAGAATCTGATCCCGATGAAAAATGGAAGGAGCTGGAGATCAAATCAGAAAAATTCAGAGTATCTTCCTTAGGTAGGATTCAGTTACTAAATGGGATGATTACACAAGGCTCATTAAGTGGAAGGTATTTTCGAGTTTGTAGCGGATATCAGAAATATATGGTTCATCGTTTAGTAGCACTAGCTTTTTGCTTAAAAGTACAAGAAAAAGATTACGTAAATCATATTGATGGAAATCCCACTAATAATAAAGCTTCAAATCTTGAGTGGTGTACACAAAAAGAAAATATGCAACACGCAGTATCTCATAAATTATGGAATGGATATAAGCGTACTGTTAACCAGATTTTTTCTGACGGTTCTACACAAGAATTTTTATCATTAAAAGAGGCAGAACATATAACAGGAATTAAAAGTCAAAATATTGGCGCAGTATGTAAAGATATCCGTCCTCATGCTGGAGGATATTGCTGGAAGTATATTGACTCAGCTATACAAAATAAAAGTTGAATATCTAAATTTAAAAATTACTAGTATTTTTTAACTCTCATCGAAAATGTAGAATGGTCTTGCTTGACCATAACGTTCTCCTCTTTTTCGCATATTGACTATAGTATATCTCTTGGATGGAGAAGCGTGGCTATCAGGGCTGTGTCGAAGGGCTTCACTGGCATAAGTGTTAGCCTTTGACGCATTTTTAGGCCCATGTGCTACAGAAGCAAATACTGCCCCTAATTTGCGCAAATAGCTTGGGAGTAGTGGTTTACCACTTTCGGGAAGAAATTCATCCTTTTTCAAAAATGCACTTAAATATACAGATCCAGGCTTTCCAGGATCTCTTAACTGCCCGGAAGAAATTGCTTTCTGAATCCATTCAAGCAGTTGCCTTGCCCACTCCTCATTCTTTTCCAGTGATCTAAATACTCGAGGAATATCTTGTACCCCCCTGTTTTTCGCGTATCCAGTTACACCTCCATTAAATATGCGCAAAT